ACCCAAGGATTTTCTCCAAACTGTGAATATATAACAAGCATTTTTTCTCCCTTTCAGTCCTCAACTTTATTGGGCAAGGATTGCATTCAAGCATATATACTATGTCTCTCAAAAGTTAGCGCTATAAATTCCTATCCGAGTCTTGCCTATTTAAGGAATATAGAGGAGGTATGCGTCCTCTCAGCCACCTTGACTAATCACAGATCAGCTTGAAAGTACCCCACATCCCCCCATCAGTTTATTATGAAGAGAAGAATCAAAAGGATTGAACAGGAAGTTCTAAGCAAACAATGAGTGAAATAAGTACATACTAAAAGAGGACAGCTTGTAAAATGTCTCAAGAGACAGACAAGAACAAAGTTACTTCATTTTCGGTAGGCATCCCATAGGATGCCTAGATCTACATTACCTCCAGAAAGTATAATTCCTATGTTGCTGCAATCCTTCCAAGCAGAGTTTTTCTTGAAACTATCGGACAATACAGCAGCAAGGCCTATTGCTCCGCTAGGTTCTACTACAACCTTCAGAATCTCATAACAGAGTTTCATGGCGTGTATTATCTCCTTGTCCTCCACTGTTATGATGCCATCGACAAGATCTCTTACTACGGGCCTGGGTGAAGTGAAAGAAAGATTGAGTTACTTAAGGCAAATTGCCAAAAACATGTAAAAGCTCATTTGATACTGAGCTAGGCAAGATAAATACGATTTAGATAAAATGAGATTTTCCTTTACCAGGTAAGATCTCCAAGAAAGGCTCGAAGACCATCTGCTACAGTGTTGGTCTCGGGCAATGTTATTATCCTCCCAGCTGCTTTGGATTGAGCTGCATCGTTGGCTCCCTCAGGCTCAGCAGCTAAAACTCGAATTGCAGGGTTGATGGACTTGGCAGCCAAAGCCACACCTGATATCAAGCCACCTCCTACGCACCCACCCACAAACACACATATATCAATGCCAGAAAACAAAGCTCAGAAGTCAACAACAAAAATGTGAAGGAACAATAGTGGACTAATTTTAAAAATGATGATTAAATGTAACTGAACCAACCACTTATGGGAACTATAATAGTGTCTAACTGTGGAACTTGTTGCTCCAGAAGCTCCAATGATATGGTACCCTGCCCACTGCAAGAACATTTAAACATGCCATAAAGGCCCTAACTCCATTAGGTATGCTAATGTATGGTACTGTCCTCACATTACTTTAATAGGAACTATGATATTGTAAAACAGTATCTAATGCATTCACCTACAAGGAAGAAGTTTCGTTAATGCATCTGAATTGTTTAAGTATTATGAATTAGGCTAGGTAATACTAATCAAGGAGTAGCCGAGGTGATATTATAATATATACATCACCATAAAATTCAAGGCAGCATCTATGATTGTATTTTCAAGAAAATATGGTAACCATGACATACATATCGATCAACAGTTTACAACTCATAATATGATTTCGGTTTGGTCATTCTTTAGGTAAACACACACACACCCTCACAGTAAAGCAACCTTTTTATGTTGTCTTATTTTGTATCAACACAGTAGACTCTGAAGATACATCCTAAGTTTCAATAATATTGATACAAAACAAGGTCACCTTTATGCAAAAGATTTCTACTCTTCCCTCATCAAGGGCCAAAATTCCAAACATATGCATTTAAAACAAATGAAAGTTGCATGTGTACCTTATTATGCGCCTATCGTTATAAGGATGTAGAAGAACTGCGCCAGTTTCTTGCAACACCTTGGCTGCAGTACTTTCCCTTGACTGCATTGTGGGCTCACTCCAGATAACCTGACCACCGTAACGAATGACATTCTCAACTTTGCATTTCGGAGCATTTTTTGGTATAACTATGTATGCAGGGATTCCACGTAGTTTTGCAGCCAAAGACAATGCTGCAGCATGGTTACCACTGAATTTGGAGGACAATATCACGTGGTAATCCCACAAACTGGTCAAAGGAAATACCCACGAAAGACAAATGAGCCAAAAGCAAACCTGCTGTGTGTTACAACCCCTTTAACAGCCTGATCATCATCGAGTGAAAATACAGCATTGCAAGCGCCTCTGAATTTGAAAGCACCACTGCATAGCCACATAATAAGAAGTCTTACTGGCTGAGGAAAACTAAATGAAGTCCAAACCAATCTAGGAAAGAAGTAAACACTAACCCCTTTTGAAAACATTCACATTTGAAAAACAGCTGCCTTCCTGCAAGAGCATTCAAAGATTCAGAGGACAAGACAGGAGTTTGGTGGACGAATGGCTTGATGCGTGCTTGTGCTTCCCTTATAGAGGAAATATCAGCAGCATATTTTACCTCCCTCATTTGACTCTCTGCTTCCATCTTTATACCACCAATAACAAAAACTTGATTTTTTTAACTGGGTAAGAAACAATCACACTGAACTTTTAGCAACACGTTCAACAATCTAAGAATTTAAAGAGATATTCAAAAGTTCTCATAAATCAATCAGAAAAATTTTAAATTTTGAAGAACATGCAATGAACTAAAATGAATCACACCCATTAATTCCTGGGTGTTAAAGATTATGCTTTAAAGCCTCTTTTTCAATCTTACTTCCCACAAATCACTTCAATTTTTCTGTAGCAATGAAGTGTTCAATGGGTTTTTGCATTTTCATCATAATCTGAAGCAGAAATAATTATATAGACTTCGATAATTCATCAAAGAGAGAAGACACAAGGAAAGAACTTTTGAGAGTTTCAACTTTCAAGAACTTACACTGTTGAGCGAATAACCAAAACGCCAAATTTCCCAGCTGATTTTTTTTGTTCTGCTCCGCTATTTTACCAGTAAGCAACGGCAACGGGCATCAAATCATCTTATAAAAGAAAAACGACAAGTAAAGTCGCGTCGTGTGGTGAGGGCAACTGGTGGAGTCGAGAAAACGACCAAAATTAGCCTACGTTTATGAGTGTGACTGATACAAACTGAACCCTAAACCCTAGGTTTTCTACGGCCCCAGGCAAATATTCTCGTGCCCCTTTATACAAATTAAACAAATAAATAAATAAATTATCAATTAATTAATTTTATTAAAATTATAAGAATTTACAAAAGATAAGGAAGAACACTTTGGGGCCTCATTAATTTAAAACCTTGTTTGGGGAAAACCCAATGGGACAAAACCCCAAACGAGAGAAAAAGAGTACCCTGGATTGTAAATATTGCATTAAAAAACGAAAACTACATATTTGAGTTTACATGCTTCCTCCCGAATCTCCATAAGCATTTCTTGATTTGATCAATTTTCTTTTCATCCTCCACAATTAATTGAAGCAAAGAATCATCACATGTACCTACAAAATAAAAATAGCAATGAAATCTGAACCACAAAACATAATTTAAAATGTCTTCTTGTTGCACTTTTAGATGCAAAATCATCAATTATACTATCATATTTAATATTTTCTAACATATCATTTTCAATGAATAATATGCTAATCCATTTAGCCTATCTTGAGTCATGGTAGTCCGCAAGTAAGATTTCAATAATTTTAATTTAGAAAAACTTCTTTTAACAGATGTCACAATCACAGGTACAGTCAATAATACCCTATAAGCAATCATTACATTAGGAAACATATCCACACTCTTTACAAACTCAAGAATTTTAATGGATGTCCATGGTTTATCTGTTTCATATGCTTCTTTTGGTAACATCACTTGCAACACCTGTAATTCTGAAAATAAGTCTCTTGCATCAACATCAGAAACATCACCATGTTTTAAAGCATTTTCAAGATTCACACAAAAAAATTTCAATTCATTATCATCAAACGAAGTCAACTTTGCAGCATCAAATAAGAACCCAAAAATATATTCAAAACAATGCAATTGTTCAAACCTATTCTTCAATTCATCAAGAGCAATATCCATTATAACAAGAAAATAATCAGTTCTAAATGATTCTTCAGTTGATTGTTGTTCCGCAAAAGAGTACCCCGGATTGTAAACATTGCATTAAAAACAAATTGCTTGCGTTGCGTTATGAACTGAGAAGGTTGAAGGGTTTTTCCTTCTTTTTGCGGCTAAGAGTCTGTTTTGATTCCCCATATTTATTGATTTGTTTTATATTATATTTTATAATTAATGAGGGACTTCCTTACTCAATACGTTTCTTCTTGAGATTGAGTATATAAAGACTGATTGGATTAATTGGCTTCCCTTTTCATTGACAGGTACAGGCGACAACTTCTTTTGTTTTAATTTTTTTTCATACACATATATACATAGGCTTAAAAAAAATTTTGGGCCCCTCTCAGCTATGGGCCCCGGGCTGTAGCCCTGGCAACCCTGGCCCAAGGCCTCTTGCATACCTTCACACATTATTTATTTTATTCGCTAAATTACTTTAGAAGACTATCAATTATTTTAGCATATTATTTTAGAATATGTATCAAACCGATAAGATTTCAAATCTGTATGAAACGCCACATTAATCTTGAAAAATTCATTCCTCGCAAAAATTTAGTCGTCATCCAATTTTCCCCAAATGTACAAATGCATTGCTCTCGCTTCTTTCAGATTTGAGACTTAAGTACTATAAAACCATTTATAATACAATTCCAATATTAAAATTAGAAAGGTCAAGAGCACTGATAATTATAATACGTAAAATCTATAATTAATCACCCATCTAACTTCCAACAGACTTGCGTACTAACTTTCAACGGACTTTTCCTCACAAATATGTAGAGATCCTCTTACACATTTCTAAATGAATCCTTCCTATGGCAGGACTCTAGAAATGTTTTGTCAATATCCAGACATGGTCAAACTCAGTCAAATCCATGCAGATGTCATAATGAAACAAATGGGCATAGAAAAAAAAATGGACGACAATCTCAAACACGATTATTTCATGTGCGACGGTCCCCACAAGGTCAGGTAGGCAGGGGAATCCATGCATTAAAATTTGCAATTGAACTTGGTGCGCCATGATCTACTAGACAAAGGCAGACCTAAAAGATGAATAATAGATGGTATGGTCGTCGACTAACATTTAACTATTTATCATTACAAACCCAGAACGAATCAAACAACAAAGTTTGTCAAATAAAAAAATAAGAGATAAAAAGTACACAACAGCTTCTGCGTTTATATGGTAGGGCCCTCAGTTTATCACTTCATCTTCTCCACTTCTACTACTAATACTACTACCACATGACTTATGGCATCGTGAAAAGAAAACAAACACGTGCCCATGATTGTAGACAGCTTTAGTCACCATTAGGAAACTTGCAGGACTCTTTTAGGAATTACGAAAATTAAGCACCAAACTTGGGAACCTTGGCAGTGGAGATTTGTGCAAGGAAATGCTCGGCCACAATTCGACGTTGGATTTTCCCGGTTGCAGTTTTAGGAAGAGAGTCAGTAATGAACGCCTTCTTGGGTACTTTGAAAGAAGCCAGATTCTTCTTGCAAAATCGCAGCACTTCTTCCTCGTCTATGCTTGTGCCTTTTCTTGGGATTACGGCACAGTTAATCTGCAGATTACCACATAATACATAAATAATTAAGAACAATTACAACCAGAAACACGAATACGAATAATATCATATAATGTAGGCACCTACCTCTTCACCATATTTATCATCAGGAACTCCAAAGGAAACTCCTTGCTCAATTTCTGGATGTGACACAAGCACTGCATCTACTTCAATGGGTGATATCTTCTCCCCTGAGACAATCAAACAAACAAATTGTGAGCTAAACTTATCTCACGCATTTTATCAAACACTTGGGCTTCAGTTTCTATTAGTTCATTACCTCCGCGGTTAATTAGCTCCTTGATCCGACCCACGAGGCTCAAATACCCATCAGAATCCAAAACGCCGATATCTCCAGTATGAAACCACCCGAACAAGAAAGCCGCTTTGTTGGCTTCTGGGTTGTTTTTATACCCCTTAGTCACATTGGGTCCTCTGATACACACCTCGCCGTTCACGCCCTCTGGCTGAACCAAACCCTTATCGTCCAAAAGCCCCACCGGCCCCCCCGCCCGCCCCGGGCTTGTGGGGCCCGTCTTCGGGCAACGGGTTCGAACACATCAAATGGGTCGCCTCTGTCATCGCATAAGCCTCCAAGACCGGCGCGCCAAACGACTCTTCCAGCCGCGCCAATATTGACGGAGCCAACGAAGAGCTGCAGCTCCGAATGAACCGGAGCTTCGGGTATTTCGGTTCGGGTTTGCTGTCATGGCGGTCGAGGATGATCTGGTGGATGGTGGGTACCGCGGTATACCACGTGGCATTGTACGAAAGCATGTCGGCCCAAAATGTGGAGGCAGAGAATCGGCCAGCGGCTGGGGGAGGCACGGCGGCCGCCGCGGCGGGGGGAGCACTGTA